GCTCAACAGAGGACGCAAATGGTAAATCAAAAGACAAAACTAGCGGGAAAAGCAAAGACGAGAAAGATAAGAAAGACGAGGTGGAAGAGTTGGTATGTCTGGGAGGGAATTATCGTGGTTATTTGCCGGAACAGTCTCGGTTTAATCTAGTCTAAGTACTAGATTAATACACTGATCGGGCACATAAATAATTACACTCAACGCGTAAATTTTGATTCGGTTTCTTTAAACCGCATTCGAGGCAAATGCTATAATGACATACGACAAGATTGATGTCTCATCGAATTTATCTCAATTCAACTGAAAACGTAGTCTGAAGAAGATCAACAATTGAAGAATGAACTGGAAATGCTGGTCGAGCGTTTGAAGGTTGGTATTCCTGTACGAGCTTGTGTGGAGTCGATCTTTTTATACGCCCACCATTTGTCCAGAGAATGTTTCTTGCCGACTTTCTTAATGATCATTTTCGAACCTGACTTTTCTGTCCCAATATAATTCCTATTCGTTTCTACCGCTCACTTCAGGAACCAGACATATCCCTGCACAACCCGGCCCTAGAATCACTTCGTACGCTTATTCGTACGTCAACAAGTTCGATGACATCGGTTCCGAAACCATTGAAGTTTTTACGACCGCATTATGCAACTATGGCAGAGATATATGCAGACTGGATTGACTCGGAAAATAAGGTAAACAGGTGTGTTGGAGAGGCAAAGACAGAGATTACACGTAAAAAAAAGAAAAAGAATGATATATATTACGATTGGCATATTTGTGGGACGTAGACGAGGATGATGGAATACAGGGGATATTTCATGTTAGTTGAATTTGAAGTTAATATCCCGTGACATATTTGTTGCAGAATCGTCTTGCCGATATTTTATCTGTCCTGGCAATGACTTACGACGAAGGCAAGCGCGATTCACTTAAATATCGTCTTCAAGGATCTAATGAAAATCCTGGATCGTGGGGACACGAATATGTTCGGTAAGTGTTGTGAAGGAATCCTACCTGCAATCCGTAAACTGTTATGTCCCAATAACATAAACGCTCATTCCTTTTTTCAAAATGGTGTGCTTCCTAAACCACCATTTGAATTCAATTCCCTGGCCATTTCCCAATGTTAAAGCCATTTGTCAACAGAAATTGGTCAAGAATACGTATACCGCACGGTAAATGGGGACTCACCGTCAACCGACGATCTAATGAGTCTTGCATTGGATATTGTTCCGTTTTTCCTACAGCACAACGCTGAAGCCGATGCTGTTGATCTGTTGCTAGAACTTGAAGCGATAGACAAATTGCCTCAGTTCGTTGACAGTGACACATATGTGCGTGTATGTCTGTATATGGTCAGGTATTGGTTAATCTACGCTTGCTAATCAATTCTAATTTACAATATGAAAAATGCAATTTTTTCATGTCCCATGTCTGCGCATTAAATTGAATTAAACCTACTTTTAATCCTTTAGTTGTGTTAATTTGTTGGTACCGCCGGACGATGAGTATTTCCTGAGAACAGCACATTCTATTTATTTCAAACTTGAAAAATATTCTGAAGCAATGAGTCTTGCTATTCGGCTTAGAGATGATGATCTCATAAGGGAAGATTTTGAAGCCGCTGGGATGAAAGATGTGTAAGTGAAAACTAATTTCAACGGGATTGTTTTTTGGGAGTTGGGATGTTTCGGCTTTGCAAGACATTCTCTCTTAATTTATATTTGCGTATAGTTTATTACAGAAACAGCTTGCGTTTCATCTTGCTAGGCAGCAGATTTCACTATCAATTGAAGATGAAGAGATAGAAGCAATATTAAATAATAATCATTTGTCCAAGCATTTTATTGCCCTAGCGAAAGAGTTGGACGTTTTGGAACCGAAGTCACCTGAAGATATTTATAAAAGTCACTTGGAGAATATCCGTAAGTGAATATTCGTATGGATGCTTAGACGTACCCTCGGTGAACAATGTCTCAATTTATTTGCATAACTAGGGCCTGGATTTACAAGCGGCAGTGTTGATTCTGCTCGTCAGAATCTTTCGTCAACTTTTGTTAATGCTTTTGTGAATGCTGGTTTTGGAACTGATAAGTTAGTTACCATAAAGGAAGGACATCACTGGATGTATAAGAACAAAGACCACGGTAACTATTATTCGAAACCAAGTAACAAAGATAACTGATAATGGGATGTGACATACATTTGGTATTGTACGGTTTATTTAATACAAAAGGAAGATTAAGCGCTGCTGCTTCTATTGGCATGATAATGCTTTGGGACGTGGAGACGGCACTCAATGTCATCGCCGATTATCAATCGTCAGAAGACTATCACGTCAAGGTAGCTATTATTTGCTCGCCTTGGTAACATCCAAACTATGTAAGGTTTCATATTCAGCCATTCTGAATACTCTATTGTTTCTACATATAGGCGGGCGCAAATTTAGCAATTGGACTCGTAAATGCAGGGATTCGTAGTGAAATTGATCCTGCAAAAGCTTTGTTGTCAGAAACAATTGAAGATAGTAAGCAACGGGATATCGTGCGTATATCGGCTGTTGTAGGGTGAGTCGTATGATTTGGTGATGTTCCTGTCTTTTTGCGGATGAACAAATAGGATTTCATATTTTCTTTTCATCCTTGTCTACTACACTTTTTCTTTGCAGTCTCGGGCTAGCTTATGCTAACTCACATCGTGAGGATGTACAAGCTCTACTTCTTCCACTTGTTCTTGACAAAGCAGTAAAATTGGAAATAGCGTCTCTGGCTGCCTTGTCACTAGGTTTAATTTCCGTTGGAGATTGTAATGGCGATATTAGTAGTGCAATTGTTCAGGCTATGATGGAGCGTGATAAAGGACAATTGAAAGATACTTGGGGACGGTTCTTGGGACTTGGTCTTGCACTGTTATATCTTGGTGAGTGATGAGGAATGCAAAATAATTGTGGAGAGAAGATGGGGTTTGACCAAGAATATTAAAAAAGGGAAGACATTATTAGCCTCATTCATGATAAATGCTAGAAGATGTCAATCTATATATATATGCATTTAAATATATATATATGTATGTTTATAATTATAATTATGCGGGTATAGGGAAACAAGAACAGGCTGAAACAGTGTTGGAAACATTAAAGGCTGTTGATCATCCACTTGGGAAACAAGTCGGAGTGCTGGTTGAAATTTGTTCGTATGCAGGTTTGTAGTCGATCCGACTGGTTATGCTAGCTTGGCTATGGTTGTTTTGTTCTCATACATCTTGGTGTACTGTTAATTTTGTGGCATAGGAACTGGTAATGTATTGAAAGTACAGAAGATGCTTCATATATGTAATGATCATTTGGATAAAGAGAAGGAAGAAGATTTGCACCAAGCTTTTGCTGTTCTCGGAGTGGCATTAATAGCTGTCGGTGAGGATGTTGGGGCCGAAATGTCATTACGAACATTCAATCATTTGGTAGGTACAATATCAATTGATGGTTAAGATTAGGTGCCAATTGACATATTGTTGCGCCATTGTTTATCCACTGATACCGAGTTGTATAATAACTTGTTGTATGAATGTTTGCTTATATATTGTATAACGATACTTTTCCCTTCACTTTAGATGCATTATGGCGAACCCGTGATCCGTCGGACAGTCCCACTAGCACTCGGTCTGTTATGTGCCTCAAATCCGCTACTCAGCGTTCTCGAAACGCTCAGTAAGCACTCTCATGATAACGACGCCGACGTTGCAATTAACGCTATCTTCGCTATGGGCCTCGTTGGTGCCGGAACAAACAATGCAAGACTCGCACAGATGTTGAGACAGTTGGCGAGTTATTATCATAAAGAGCCTAATTGTCTGTTCATGGTTCGGATCGCACAGGTAATTTTCGGGAGTATATTAAGGGAGGCGAATATATTGCAGCGTCTCATATTGTGTTCGGGATGTTCTCTGTACTTATAATGATGTCTACTTGCATAGGGACTACTGCACATGGGGAAGGGTACGATATCAGTTAATCCTTTCCATTCTGATCGCCAACTGATGTCACCCGCTGGAATGGCTGGTATATTAGCAACGTTAATCGCGTTTACCGACGCTAAGAAACGTTAGTATTATAAGAAACTCAGCATGCTCGTTCTCATTATCATATCCGTTGTCTATTGACTCTAACTGCATCTTTTTCCGTCTTGTTTTAGTAATTCTCGACAAGTATCACTGGTTCCTCTATTTCCTCGTGACAGCAATGTACCCCCGTTTCCTAATCACCCTTGACGAAAACCTCGAGAGCCTTCCGGTCACTGTGCGTGTTGGACAAGCTGTGGATGTGGTCGGTCAGGCGGGGCGACCAAAGACAATTACGGGATTCCAGACACATTCGACACCTGTATTGTTGGCGCATTCTGAGCGGGCAGAATTGGCTACTGAAGAATGTAAGTATTCATAGAGTGGACAAGATTGTTTAGATGTGTATATTGGATAATAATTTATTGGTGAATTCGGTATATTTGTAGACATTTCACTCTCGCATGTCTTGGAAGGTTTTGTGTTGTTGAGGAAGAATCCGGATTTCATGGAAGAAGATAGAGATTAGAGAAAGATGGTTCACAATTCATCATGTGTATAAAAAAATTTTCCCATTTCTTTTTAAGCAAAAACTGAGATCTTATTATTTAACATTATTTTTCAAATTGCGTGCTGATCGTATGTATATCATTTACTTGCATCATTCGTTCTACTCTTCGCTGATGTTACACACATCACTGTTCTATTGCATGAACAAAATATCCTGCCATGCGGATATAAAATGTTCTAAATCACAACGCCTCATTTAAGCAAGTCTATTTGTTGTTGTATTAACATTAATGGTTTAATAACTCTAAGTTACTAATGATCAACGGGTGGGTTGAATTGTATATATAGTTGCGTGTGGAAATGTAGAGGATGTTGAGATGCAGACGTGCATATATAGTCCATATCAAACCCACCTACCCATTGTGATGGTAAGAATTTTATCCATTTGATCCTGATTGTTCATTTCGCCATTCCACATATTCATCGAACAAAACTGGCCCTGTTGTGTACAATAATAAATGGGTGTTATTCAGCTAACACACGTTCAAAGCGTATTTACAGTAGATGATATAATGCACGTACAAGCAGAAGTTGGATCGTAATTACTGCAATCTTCGCAGACATTGTTCACAAATGCCCATAGACTAATCCATTGGTCTTTGGTGATTACTTTTACTGGTTTCTTTTTCTATTGAAAATGAATATGTTTGATGAATATCAATCTCTGGGTCACAATTCACGATCAAATAAAATTATACGTACCTCGAGGAATTGTACAAGGTGATTGACATGCGAATAGTTATTACTTAGCAGCAACTTCCACATTTCTATTGCAACCTGGGTAGGCATGGTGAGAATGTATAGTAGTCTGCTCGGTAAGATAACTTGCAGGTGTAGGAAATGTTATCGTTCATTTACCTCCACACCAACACTTCTTTGGTTGTCCTCTTTTGAGTAGTTGAATGTGTTTCTGTAAATGTCCTTCAATTGCTCTGGATTCCTCAATGCCGCTTCGAGTTCAGGAAATTTTGATATTAGCTTGTCATTGGAATCAATACTAGTGAATGGCAGGAAATAGTATGACAATGAGTACGTCTAAACGTGAACATATTGTAGCTGATATAATAAAATTATTGTAATAGGTATCAAGTCATGAGACCTATCGCAATCGTCGTAATATTCAGCGTATTAGTTGTTTTCGACGGGTCCTCGCTTCCGTAAACTTCTTTCTGCTTACCCCCAAGCCCCGAATGCCGACGTCCACTCTCCTCGTGTTATATATCCTACAACCATGAATGATTGTTAGAATGAGACAGACAATTCAATTAATCTCTGCGCATTTATGCGTGACTAATAATAAGAATACACAGTTTACCGAATTTAGATACATTCAATCTCCATGAGATCAGTATAATATGTACCTATTGCAGACGAATATGCATATAAGTTAATGTGAGATCAAGAGAATAAGTAATAAACGTAAAAACTCGGCGAATACTCTCAGAGATTCACATACACTATTGGTATTAGTTCCAAGATCCTTGAACCATTTTTCCATACCATTGGGACCAATTCTGTCCTCTATGTCTTCGGAATCTAATATTAGTCATGTTATAAAATATTACCAAGGTTGAAAACAGCGTTGTTGATATTGTACATAGAAGTAACCATGCATCTAATTATTGCAATCGTCATATATATTGTTGATGACTGTTGCAACTTCATTTATGGTCAAGGAAGTTCTATATACCTTTGTAATCTTCAAACCACTGAATACATCGTTCTAAAGAGAATCCAGATGATTCCTGACAATAAAGGAAACAGTTAGATTCATATCATATATTAATACACATGCAATTCAACGCGTAATTGTTTATTTAATCTGCGGTAACTAATCACCACTAGATTACATTGATATAATAACTTACTTCCATCTTCGGTTTACGCACTCTTAGTGGATGAATCAAATAAAAGAAAAGTCAGTTATTAAAGATCAATCTACCAAAACTCATCAACTCTACATATCCACATTCCATTCATGCTCTGCTCTCTCTCACCGTTTAATAACATTCTCAGTACTACTCCGCCCGTTCATAGTGCCATCCATGTCTTGACCTCGGCCCTTTGCCCGACGCGCAGTGAGGTTAGTTCCAGCAGTAGTTGAGTTCTTTACACCCATGTCTTGGATACTATTAGCTCTTTTTCGCTTTGGTGGCATCAATGTAAGAGTTTTGAAGTTAGACTGTCAGTACTACAGAAGTAGGAAGTATGAATGGTAAGTGGTATGGTAGAGAGTAAAAGACAAAAGAGAGGGGGGAAAAGCGAACATATTCGAAAACTTTTAACTGTGATCTGTAAAATACTATTGGTCGTACTAGGATTAGGGGTAGAACAGTATCCCAACGCTCTCACGTAATATTCTCTTACAACGCAATAACACGTACCTTCATGTACCCTTTTTACCCTCCGTTCACCTGGTTTCAAAGCCCGCATCTCATGGAATATGTTGTAACAAAACCAGGCATAATGAATGGGCCACAGATAGATTTCAGGGTCCGAGACAGGTTACAGCCACACATTTACCTTAGCTCACCCCTTTTTTGTTATAAATAACGCCACAAAAAATTACAGGGGTTCAGTTCAAAGCCACAAATTTGTGTTACAGACCATTAAAGTGAATATAAAGACTTAACTATTTTTTACTTGCAATGCCCATTATGTGATAGTCACAAGGAAAACCGACATGAAATAAATCTCAAAGAAATGTCTGTGTTGATAGACAAATCAACCAGTCTCTGAGAATTATGCATAAAAACAAAAATTAAAGTGCGTACGGTACAACCATGCCATGTTGGACGCGAAAAATGTTTAATTTTACTGTTTGATCAGGTGTGTCGCTTTTTAATTGTAAGCATTGGTGATATCTTGATAATCTGGTAGTAGTGTTCTAACCCAAACCCAATTCGAAATAGGCACATTGTTTAATATCAATAAGCAACATCTAATCAAAATTGTTTACGCGATGTATCGAAATAAAATGTGCTTATTTCGACCTGATTTCGAATTGGGTCAGATACAGTAGTAGTAGTAGTGGTGGTGGTGGTGGTGGTATAATAATATTGTCAGATTCAGTCAAAGATGGGAAGCTTCAGTAAAAATCTCTGCCTAATAAAGATCACGAAAACTCCCTAGTGGATTTAACATTGTGCTTATCGTTGTTAATGATGAAGTAGTAATATCCTTTTGTTAAATTTATTCCACAAGAAAACAACAAGCAAACTGTAAATTAAAAAAAAAAAAATAAAAATTAATCGGTCTTTTCAGAAACAAGTTGAAGGAAAAAGCGAGTATAATCACGTCTAATAATCTATGTCTGACATTTCAGCTAATTCCCATATAGTTACTATTAAACAGACCACGTTTATCTCGGTCTATGACCCAAGGTTGTTTAGATGAAACAACTAAATAAGAGCGCTATAGTCTCCGGCAAAAAAATAGCGCTGACTATCGTTTTTATAGTCTCCACAAACTTAATACAAAAATCGGTTATCCGTTATTATAATTACATACAAACGTATTATTATTATTATTTTATCTACTTAATACGTCAAAGCGGACCAAGAGACTCTTTTTTATTTGGCATCTTAATATTTTCAGTTCGATTCTGATATATTAAATGGTTGCGCTTTAGACTTTTTAAAAGATCAAAATCAGAAAATATATTTTGCCTGTCTCCCCTTTTTGTATATGGTTTTAAAAAAATTGATAATTTACAAAAACACTGGGTAGACATCTCTGCTTGATAAACTAGAATTTTAATTTAGTAAGAGTAGAACTAAGTATAAGAGGGTTTTGGATCAAAGAGAATTATTGACAAATTGCAACACAATATTAGACTGCAGTTTAGCTGTTTTCTCCCTCTCTTTCCCAGTCAATTTGCACAGCTGCAAGAATATCCTCATCAATTCACTATCGTTACAATAAACCCTCTTCACCGGTAATGGTTCAACCTATTAATATAATGCTTTCCAGTCATTGCCAAGTGGCCCCATATGCCAGTTTTCTTCCGACAATTTTGGAAGAAATTGAAATCGTGATTCTATGTTCCCGTCATATCCAGACAGTGAAAGCTATTAGTAGACAACATAAAGCCAAGCAGAGCTGAAGTAATTGCATTGATAGTGTGAAAAGAATAAGCGCAAGATATTAATATATTGTATCGAGCCTACAAATAAATAATAAATTGAATTTACGAAGAATATACATTTTAGGCAACAGTCAATTCTGTTAAATCAAAGATAGCAAATAGCACCTTTACAGAAACTTAGAAACATTTCCCGTTCTTTTATCTTTTCGAGAGTATGGCACCCACAATACCTATTGCAGTGAAGAGGCCTTCAATAAGTACAACTTTATTCTTGGGTAAATCAAAGTTCGTGTAACTTCTGTCCAATGACCTTATTTTTATCATCATTTAAAAGTATAACGAAACCAAAAACCGACATGACGAATATAGACCCGAAAAGGCTCGCACAACCTCTTGTTGCTTTATGTGCGGCTGGCGTTCTCGCACTGTATGTCAGGTAACTTCTACTGAACCTCACTACTAAATCGGAGGGTATAGACTGTCATTGAAATACGAACTTGCATGGATTTTGTCTCGCAGGTATTCGATAAATGAAACCAAAAGGAACAGAGAGAGACGGAGACGAGGCACAACTACAGAGGACAAACTCCGCGTGATCAACAATAGAAAGTAACAACGTTTGATAATCTCCACGCAAAAAGATACCTTGACAAATTGATTCAATTGTGCGAAAAGTTGAAGACTTTGTAGGGACCTTATTCGCATAAATAAGGATCGAGTTTTTTCTTAACTTCAAAATTAGTTGTATTGTTAACTTGCTATTGTCTTAACTTGGAAAAGTATGTATTTGCTTCAATTGAGAAGATTACTATTATCATTCCCGGTCGGGAAAATTTAATTTCTGTAAGAGATCAAATGATGTGACAGCGAGGTTGAATACACGATGTATAATTTCATTCGACTGGCATCTAAGGATATCATATCCACATGGAAATGAGTTATCCATATCCCAAATATCGTAGTAGCAATAAATAAATAGCTTGCCTCCACTAAATATAATTCTTTAGGATGGCCATATCTGGTAGCAAAGACAACAGTTTTCAAATGTCAACACTTTCAATTGCTTCAATGTATGATTTTACTAAATAATGATAACGCAAGAAATATTATGTGATTAAAATTGCGATTAATGCCTCAGGTTATGTCATCAACCGTTTGTAAAGGATTACCAGATATGTTTGATATGATGATACAATCAATGTTTTCTTCGAATCTATGGTAATAAGCCTATATTCGTATATAATATGTGCGAAATACCATGGTATGCACTATAGGACTGCCGCTTGTTAACAAAATAATGTAAATGTCGCGTCTGTACGACACTGCATACCAACGCAATTCTCTATGAATAAATCAGCTGTACGTATTCCCTTCATATTAGTTTGGAGTTCAACAACCTGACTTGGCAAGAGTAAGTGAAAAGGAAAGACTCCTATATCAAAGCACCGCATGTTTGGTTTCTAGCTGCTCTCCGCCATCTGTGTTTGTTAATGCTATTGGGTGCACCTACTATTAACCCCTTTATTCTCTAATTTGACGCGCCGAGATCAACTTGACAACCCATACACTCGCAATTCAATGCAATGTTCGAAATTTACAGTATAGGAGAATAAAAAGTTTATGATACAAGGAGAGAAACAGTTCTCGTCAAATGTTCATGTAGCCAATCCATGCAAGGTAAAATCACTCTTAAGAACAATAAATACAAATGCCCATGAGCGAGTAGTAATGAGAAATAACTCAAAATTCTTGATAGCATTAATATTAACTCTAATTCGACGAATGTAGGTCTCAAGAAGTCATTTGATAAGTAAAAACAAATCATGGAGTGCGTATAAGAGAAAACAACTCTAAATACCGTTAAACAAGCACAATATAATATAACCGTACTAACATAGTCTCAATTTCGTCCATATGTTCTCTCTTACGTTTCTAATTTCGTCAATCATCATATTCTTCTTCGGATGAGTCGCCGCTATCCATGTCATCCTCCATCTCTTCTTCCATATCTTCATCATCTAGCCAGAAATCGTCATCTGGATCAATTTCAGGTTTGGGCTTGTTGGGGACGAATTCATCGGCTACATAGTCAGTGAAAGCGTTACATAGGAGCATGATGACGCAATTATGTAGAGAATTCAAAGTGAGATATTGATAGTAAAATCCAGCAAAGTCAATGAGCTTGTAATGCAATTACCATTAGTGGGTATCTTAAGTCCGGCTGGGATGTCTTTCTTAGACGATTCTACTTGAGCTGAATGAATTATAATAAGGTGGAATTGAAGATTGTAGTAACAATAGACAGTGATAAGTATTATCAAAACGTTAAGCAATAATAGAACAATTCTCTTATGCCATCAATCTCTCATTCATACTTACCACGAACGATACTATCATATTGTTCTTTGTTTTTGCGATACATAACCTGTAGTAACAAAAAAATTTAACTTAATATCACACTTGACGCCAACGTTTTCAATGAAACTGAAAATCTTACACCGGCATCCTGTAATAGAGTTGAAAAAACTTCTTAGTTTGAATTCAAATCAATTGTTTACATCATTTTCCAATACGTACCACATTTGCTGGACTTGAACAATTGGGGTCAGCCAACAAACTGACAATGCTAATAAGAATACCTAAATTTGAGAAGCGTTACTAAACATTGAAACAAAGTACTAATCAAAAGGGCGAATAATAAAGTTGGAAGCTTTCTCACTTTCTACTGTCTGCGTTGGATTCCAGCGTTCCTAGATAAAAGGCAGTTTGATGAGTATTTGCGGTCAGAAACCAAGAATTGCTTATGCAACGCGTACCTCGGCCGTTTCTCCGCTCGTAGGATCATCAACAGGTGGATGAAGGATAGATATGCAGAGATTTCCGTCAGCGTAAACTAGAATATTCGTAGACAATAATAAACCAAGTTAGACCATATACAAAAAAGTCCATTTGTAAAATTTTAAAAATTACCATTCGGGTGAAAAAAGCTGTTATTGAATTTGAAAGTTGGAGGATTAAAAGGATAATCTTTTGGAAATTTCATGGTTGCCTGATCAAGACGTGTATCCAAAGATCATTTGGAAAAACTTTTAGATTGGAAATATTTCTAAATATCAATTAAGCCCAATTACGTAAATGCTACGGGTTGATTTCTGTAAATACCTTGAAATACCCTCCCTCGTAGATCGTAGCGGGAGCACCAATGATACCAACATCCCTATAGAAAAAGAATGGGACAAAGTAATGAGAAAGAGAGTAGATGCTATTACGTCAAATCATCCATGCATACGGTCCTACATACCACTCAAATACGTTATCATCATGCAACGCTACAGTGAATCCGGGGACAGGATTAGTGCTGAGTTCTATTATAGTGAGTAGATAGTCAGGACAACGGATTCGGGCGTAGTAAAGAGTATTAAAGCATAGCATGTTAGTATCCCAATGGTACAATTTGTATACAGCAGCTAAGCGCTAGAGCATTAAACTATGTATACTACGCATTGAGCAGCCCACACGTCCTATAACCCGACCAACTCACACCCTCATCCTCTGAACCAACCTTTAAATTGCTTAGCTAACACATTAGCTGCACTCGACATCTTGTCTCTTTATATTATTCTTATACAAATTTTATGTATCTTCACTTATTAAATTGAGGACAAAATATTTATAGTTGATGTGCGAGGGGGGGTATCAAAATGCCGATGTTGAGAAGTTTGACCGAGTAGTCTAGAATATATATAGTTTCGTGCGGTTCACGTGAATTGAATAACATGAGAACGTGGCCTGGTGATACCATCGAAACAATGACGATTCGCAACTGTTCGATTGCGGGTTTAATGAGTCAGTATGAAATCAGCTATGTCATCATATATTGTCGTAATCGGTATTTTACTTTCGCTTAAGAATCAAGACATACTGTATCTTGTGTTCTCGCTTGCATATTGAACAAAACGCCGATCATGTTCGTCTTAGCCTAAAGCGAGCATGTTTCAATGATTACTTGTCACGATGTTTAGATAAATAATTCTGAATTTTGTAACATTAGAACGCAAACTTTCTCGATTCGTCGTGCTCTTCTTACTTGACAATCTATTAATACAATCGAAGTAATGGTAATGTCTCAATTCAAAATAACACAACGCATCAGTGTCAGAATTCGGACAAGTTATAATGATGTCAACATATGAGCAGCTTGCTCCACCACGACAGGTACCAATCGCTAAACAGTGTTGTGAATGTGTAATTTCAGCAAGTAATTTCACAACTATAGTTTAATTTCACTTTGAAAATCATCCCAGATCTCTGGAACAATTAAAGGAAAATAGTTACGATCACGTCATCAGTAGCACAACGAAAGAATGGTTACGCTTAGCCCGAAATAAATACCGTGATAGAGTTCGTTGAGATGGCGTGATCGTGAAAGACGAGGTACACTAGAAAGACTAAATTTTAGGAAACATTACTCTAACAATCACGAAGAAGCTGGTTTCTATTGTTCCCAAAACTAAACGCTCGTGATCTGGAATTTATCACGTAATTAGTATGGGGTAGCTAATCTATCACGTATATAATGTTTGTTACAAAAAGATCCTGCTGTGTTCAATATATTGCTGTATTGATAAATGTCAGTTCGTTGTAATTGTAATGTCAAGAAGTTATGTATATTTCAATCTCCTATTCGCTGGTCGACAAAAACACCTGTGGTTTATTAATCTCTATAATCGGTGCTCAGAGAAAACGTGAAAATATTTGCTTGATCTACGCTAAGATCCCGGCAATATTAGTATGGTTATGTTTGTAGAAATCCAAACAGGTCTTGAAGTTGACGATAAATTTACAACTGATAAGCTTGAGAGCATTGAGAAATACTCAGACTCTATATTATTACCATAAGCTTGAGAGCATTGAGAAATACTCAGACTCTATATTATTACCACAGGCTTTCGAGATTGTTAATGTACGTCATCTTCGTACTGATTCGACCGTTTTTATGGTCATTCTATCGAATATATTAGTGTGAATTCAATACATCTTTGCACAGTCAAATATGATGTCCTCTCCTTCTAGTCAATACATCTCTTACCCAAATAGACTGTTCCATAATTTTCTTCAATTTCCTTAGCACGGCAAACAGCGTAATGTTTTTGTACAATTCTCTCTCCCAAGTCCGAGAGACAAGAACGCGATACAAATGAGTTTTTGCCAAAACTATCAAGCCGTTATGGATTCTACTCTCAGTCGCGTCAGTCACGGACAGATTTACAAATAATTGTTGGCCTAGCGGTAAATTAACTATGAGAGCGATTCATCATCTATCTTAATCACGTATTGAAAAAATTCAAGTAATACTAGAAACGTCAAAGGGGAAACTTGTGCACACTTTATTTTGTTACACTTCGGAATAACAGTAGATAACAGTAGACTTTATCGTTATGCAAGACACCACGTGCGCATATGACATAATTTATCAAGTTATTGGCACTTTTCATCAATAACAACGTTAGCAAAGCTCTCGGAGCATGTTTTTCTCCGTTAGCTCAAGTTATTGAATATTGTGACTTTGTCATAAAGCAGTATATGCTAAAGCGTTCCACGATTATTTGTACGATTATTTGTACTATTAGCCACTGTCATAACTCACTTTCACCCCTCACCTCACCCGTGCATTTATCCTGATCATAATATTGATATATGCATTTACGAACACCATATTCGTCTTTGAGACTCCTTGCCATACTTACCTCTATATTACTTCCTCTACCTGGTCTTTCAATAACCAGATATGAAAGACATGTTATGGATTCCAGCGAACCTCCTGCAGAAGAAATAAGTATGACTGCATTTGGTTGGAAAGTCACCATTATAACGACCCTGGTATTATTGGGTGGTGTATTTGCCGGTGGGTTACGTTTTATATTCTGGTGCTTGATCGATTTGACTAGTTAATAAAGAAAGTGTGGGAGAGAGAATCACAAGCCTCATACTGCCGTCGATGCTATAATTAAAAGAATAGCAGTGAAATCATTGGGCAAAATCAAACTGGATGTCATTTTTTTTTTCTCAACTAATCAATTAAACAAAATTTTACGTTTTCTCAATGAAATAAACTTTTCCATTATGCATTCTGGACATCCTTTATATCGTCGCTACGAATAGGATTAACAATAGGTCTCATGGGATTAGATGAGACGAATCTGCAAGTACTAGTCGCTTCTGGAGCAACCCACGAACGGAAACATGCCGCGAAAGTATTGGGCCTTCTGCAACGAGGAAAACACTGGGTTCTTGTGACGTTGCTCTTGTCTAACGTCATCGTTAATGAGACCTTGCCTATAATCATGGATTCGGTGTTTGGCGGAGGATGGCCCGCCATCTTGATATCCACAGCGTTGATTGTGCTGTTTGGAGAGTATGTATTGTTTCTATTAGTGGGTAGCGCTTAGTACTTGTTGGATGCTTTTCATTGACTTTTTAATTCTTGCAAACAGAATAATTCCGCAAGGTATGAATTTGTTGAGTATTACTGTGTTGCAAGAGCTCATGAAGAATGACCAACGCTTGAGTTTTCCGACTTGATAGCTTTCTGTGTTCGACATGGACTGGCCATTGGAGCAAATTGTGCATGGTAGAGTACATAAGACGTTGATTGCTGCGATTCGTCTTGAATGGTTTATTCTTACCTCTCTATCGGATATACTAGGTTTGTTCTGATATTGATGTATCTATTGTATCCGATTGCTCGTCCAATTGCGGAGTTATTGGATTATTGCCTTGGTGAACATCATGGGACAATATACCGAAAGTCAGGTATGCTTAAAGCGCCAGGATTGAGGGAGCTATCTTCTTGACTTCCTTTACACTAGTGCTGACGTGATTTATTGGCAGAATTGAAGACCTTTGTTTCTCTGCATAAGAATGGAGGCATTGAGAGTCTCAACGAAGATGAAGTGACAATGATCGGTTCTGTGTTGGAACTCAGGGATAAACCTGTCTCTTCAATAATGACCCCATTAGAGAATGTGTATATCTTGAGTGCCGACGATATTCTTGACCAGAAAACAGTAGATGAGGTATCAACTGAGTACGAGCAATAGTTGGATGTCAGTTTAGCTGAAGCTGACATACTCTATTTCTTTAGATACTTTCCGCCGGATATTCTCGCATACCTGTGTACGCACCGCCTAATCCTACAAACTTCATTGGAATGCTTCTTGTGAAGAAGCTGATTAGCTATGATTGTCAACACTCATTTCCTGTTAGAGATATCCCTCTCAATTCTTTACCAGAGACTGCGCCAAATACAAGTTGTCTTGAAATTTTAAAATTCTTCCAAGAAGGCAGAAGTATGTCTTAACAGGTGGCGTTGTGATCAATACTTTATGTGTATATTTAATCCTTTTACTTGACAGGTCACATGGTTCTTGTCTCTGAGGATCCGGGTGGCGAGGGCGCTGCTATCGGTGTCGTTACTTTGGAAGATGTTATCGAGGAGTTGATTGGAGAGGTAAAATAATATATCGTATACTGTTGAATTAGATGATGTAAAGGCATTTTAAGCTGACTTTCTTTGTTCGGCAGCAAATAATTGATGAAACAGACGTTTACGTTGATGGTTTGTTATTCTTTTTTGATTGATATGTTCTACATTGCTCTTTCCACAAAGACTAACTCGCACCATTTTTCGCATATTTAAGTTCGCAGTAAAATCAAAGTTGTTCGACAACCACCACGACAAATTCGTTCTCGTTTGTATCCGTATATATCAAATGCGTTTGGTCCGACTAATAATTCAGCACAGTTTACGCAGACCCCACCAATAATTCATCCAGAGACTGCAAATCAACGCCATGATCGTAAGCCTAACGCTTATCTTGACTCACGATCTCGACCTCAGTACACTTATTATGCTAAGAATATACTGAACGCATCGGCGCGGAATAAGAAATCAAGGCCTATATTGCCCAAAAATTTCACGTCAGAAGAGTATACCAATAAACCAGATAGCTATGATGCAACGGATGACCACGGATCTAAGTTGCAATTTAACGGAATGTATGGAAGTAGCCAAGGCGATAATCTTAATAAGGGGAGTATCTATACTGTGATAAAAGAAGCGAGTTTTGGTGTTACTGAGAGAAGTCCTCTTCTTGAAAATAGGTAATAATGACTTATTGACGATTTAATTCAAATTTCAACTTCACATGTAAACATGTAATTATATCAATTCATTCATTATAAGAAATAAATGTAATCATACATTGGGAATTTGATCATGCTGAGACTTGTTGTAAAGGCTATAGTCGTACCTGCTTGAGAATATAATGAAAGAGAGAAGGGGAAGGGTCGCTGAATAAATGTAATTTCCATAATCACGAAACAGTTGTATTACTATTCGTCCTTCAAATCATGAGACTAAGTATAGAACGAAAACCATATTAATATTAATTCTCCTCTAGAATATACTGTATGTACCGTAACAAGACCATTTGTCTTTTAATGACTTCTTTTTAATGGCACCATTGCGTCCTTCCAGCAAGCACTCTGTGAAGTCTGCATTATGCCAGATATGCATCAAGTAAATGCCTTTGTCCAACATCTCATTGGGATGCCCAAGGTAATCATCTCCACAAGTGAAGTGGATGACCCAGGCTATGTCTGCAGAGATATGGTTCGAGTCTTTTCCAGATGTGCCTTAATAAAGTCCTTTTCCCTTGTGGCCAGAAACTCCAGAACTATTGCTTCTTCCTCAGCTTTCTTGATAACTACGTCAAGGTGTTTGTGCTTCCCTACATATTGCAGGGTTGCTTTCATAGTATATAATATATCTTCAAGAGTGTGCTGACCATGCTATTAAACATTATTATATCTTGTAGCTCAGTAAGAGCAAATTTTTGCCATTCTTTGAAACCAATGGTCTCTCCACTCCCAAGCTTAAACAAATTTTCATCAATTCCACAGCCACAGAGACAAACAAGGCCTGGATGTCTATTGAAATGAATCACTGCAAAGTTAATTTTCACAAGCATATTTTACATACCCACTGGATAGTGTATGAATGTCATCAATGACCATAGGGTCAACGGCTATATTGTGCTCTTTTGAATATTCTTGAAAAAGACCTTTAACGGTAAGAATCGAGTAGAAGTAGAAAAGTTTTCATGTAGCTTTTAAAGGGCCAGATCATGATAAGCTTAAACTGTACAAGCGATCATCGAACCGTAAGTTAATGTCTATTGGTAGGTTGATCATGTAGAAAGTCATGTTACTTCCATTGTGAATGGGTGTTAACTTGCAACACTGTTTTGCGACTTCTATATACTTTTTTACGAATGGTGTGCTGTCACTTGTTAACTTTAAAGACATACAATTCACAATATTAATACTTTCTAGAACATAGAGTGGGGAACTCCATAATTTTCAATTTTTGGTATAATTTCGTGAAACGGTCGTTTTTTTGGGAAATACCTAAATTAGTAGCAGGCTGATTTCTATTAATACATGCTCATTCGAATGTTCCATGATCGGCATTTTGATCGGGTGTCGCTTATTATCATTATTAATCTGGGACTGTTCTTTTATCAGCTTTTCAGGGTTTAAGGTAACACAAAAGGTATGATTGACTTTGATCTGTTCAGTAATCGAAACAGAATATGGCCGGTGATTGTTTATCTTTACTTGAGCTGTAATGTATCGATTGACTTCCATTGTTAACATTCCGAAATTTGCTATTTTATCATTTAGAGAGTTAAGATGCCAAGTGATAATAGGACTGCAGAGCTTGGCGATTTCAAGGTAGCACATTCGATACAATATTAAACCGTATATAATACCCGGTTGGTACTTACCTGATTCGAAAAGTGATGTGTATCACCTGACGACTTAAACATTGGAATGGACGCTCAAGTGCGAAGAACTTCCACTCGTCGTAGCAAACATCTCAGCAGGCCTGAACGTTTTCAACCAGCAGAGCCTATATTGCGTAAAAAAGAGTCTACTCCATGGGATTCGTGGGTGTTATTTTCGCTTATAGTTACTTTCTGGGCTCCTAGTCCATTGCTGTCGTCTGTTGGTGGTCTTCGTGATAAAGCATCACAACAGGCATGGCGTGAAAAAATTGCATTATGTTCAATTGCTATTATATTGAGCGGCATAGTATGCTTTATGACTGTAGGCTTTACGCCTGTTACGTGTCCTGCATCTAAAGTGAAGAGTGACGAATACCTAAGATTTGATGAAAACCCTGGTAATTGAATGAACTCATAAATAAATACAACCATTATCCTTTGATTTGCATTATATCCCCTTCTTCACAATGTTGTCATAGGTATCCTGTTCTGCTTTAGCTTTCCGGTTAAAGGGATTAATGGACAACCGCAGTTTAACACCTTGTCTTGTTGTCAACATACTAATTATTTCTTGGTTGTCTCGTAGGTGTAGTAGGCATTCTCGGATGGCAATTCAGTGTGCTACGATCAAAAGTTGATAAAGTTAACTTTTATCAATTAGCAAATCAAGGAAATGGACAAGACGCCACCGGCTACTTCACTCGTCATTTAAATCTCATAAAGGCGTGCCAAGCTCCAGCTCTTCAACGCTTTGCAGCTGTCAGACAAAATTTCTGTGCAAACACATCGGCCATACAACAACCGTGTATTGTTGGTGACTTGACATTGAAGACATTAGTTGGTATTCAGCTCTTGAACACTACAAAAAAAGTTGGTTATGATTGGAATCAATTGTCGGATCGTAGGTTGAAAAACTACATGGTTATCAATGATAAAGTACTTAATATGGATTTGTACTTGGAGAACAATCAACGTAACCCATCGGACGCTGTAGATACTGCTATTCGGTCTGTAGTGTTTAATGGTCACTCTGAAGGCGGAAAAGATGCTACACGCCTTTTTTTTAGTCGCAAGGATCTCAAAAGTGCGGTCAGTTGTTTGACCCTTAAATACATTGCCGGCTATATTGACAAAGGAACAGCCGGTTGTTTTGTGTCTGAACTAGTATTATACGTAGCATTAACTGTTGTGCTTGGCGTAGTCATGACTCGTTTTCTCATGGCTATCGTATTCACTTGGTTCATCTCTGACCATCTTGTAAAAGAGCCAAAGACGGTTGAGCAAGTAAGGTCTCCTCAGGAATTGCCTTCGGAAGCTGAACAAACTGGTGATGCTGCTCGCTGGATACGACAAAACGAATTTGGTATTGTTACTGAGGATATTACAATGGACAGTATAGGCAACGATTTGTATACAATCTTGCTTGTTGCCTGCTATTCTGAAGGTGAAGAAGGCTTACGCATTACTTGCGAGTCTATGGCTTCTACGACATATCCAGATGATCGCAAATTGCTTTTTCTCGTATGTGACGGTGTTATTACTGGCATTGGTAATAGTCAGAGCACTCCAGATATTTGTGTTAGTTTTATGAGACTCCTTCCAGGATACGAAAATCCACAACCAAAGAGTTACATTGCAGTCGGTGAGGGTAACAAACGACATAACAGAGCCAAAATATACGCTGGACATTTTCCATACAAAAATCGGCTCATTCCTATGATTACTGTTGTTAAATGTGGTAATATAGAAGAACAAGGCAGCTCGAAACCAGGAAATCGTGGCAAGCGTGATTCTCAAACGATGTTGATGCATTTCTTCAGCCGTGTTACATACAATGATCGGATGACAGAATTTGATTATGATCTCTTCACAACGTGTCATTATCTTATGGGGGTTACTCCCGACGTTTTCGAGACAATATTAATGGTTAGTATCAATGTGTGCATTATGAGTTACATTATTACTGTCATTGTTTATGTAGAGCTATCCTAATTATTTCTAATTCACAGGTTGATGCGGATACGAAAGTGTACCCAAACTCTCTCCGACTACTCATTAACTGTATGTGCAATGATCCTTTGATTATGGGTCTCTGTGGTGAAACGAAGATTGCCAACAAACGCGATTCCTGGATAACAGCAATTCAAGTCTTTGAATACTACATCAATCATCATCTTAGCAAAAGCTTTGAATCAGTGTTTGGTGGCGTTACCTGTCTCCCTGGTTGTTTCTGTATGTATAGACTCAAAGTTCGTAAGGGCGACGATGACTGGGTTCCTCTCATTGTAAAACCCGAAGTTGTTATAGAATACTCGCAGGACAAAGTTGAGACTTTACATCAGAAGAACTTGCTACTTCTCGGTGAAGATCGTTTCTTAAGCACATTGATGTTGAGAAACTTTCCTTATCGTAAGATGATGTTTTGTCCGCAAGCTATATGCAAGACCGTTGTTCCGGATGAACTCAAAGTCTTACTCTCACAGCGTCGGCGATGGATCAATGCTACTGTCCATAATCTTATGGAATTGGTACTTGTCCGCAATCTCTGTGGTACTTTCTGCTTCTCTATGCAGTTTGTTGCATTTATGGAGCTAATCGGTGCATGTGTGCTCCCTGTTGCTATAATATTGACGTACTCGTTGATTATCAATATGTTCATACATCCACCGAAAAAACTTTGCCGATGCTATTCCTGTCATTATGCTGGTGGCGGTACTTGGGCTTCCGGCTGTTCTCGTTCTCATAACAAATGGAAAGCTTGTGTATATTTCGTGGATGGCAATATATTTGTTGGCCTTGCCTGTATGGAATTTTGTTCTGCCGATATATGCTTACTGGCACTTTGACGACTTCTCGTGGGGCGAAACTAGGAAAGTTGAAGGAGAAGAAGGCGAAGGCGAAGGCGATAATAATGGCAACCATGAGGGAGAATTTGATTCTTCCAAAGTACCGATAAAGCGATGGCAAGACTGGGAAAAGGCTAGACTTCGTCGCGTGAGGCGGCATGAAGAGCAACTAAGACGCTATCCACCGCCATATGCCTGAACTGGGGAGATAACATACGGACAATAGTAATCAAGAAATTTAAGGGGAAAGGTTCTATTTGTTACTCTTCGAAAAGCATAAGTATATTCTGTATATAATAATGACATATATTTATTGGAGAAGATATGTAAGCTCTATCAAATATCTTCCGATTAAACTCCTCACACAACTATCTTATTCTACTTAGAATTGCACTCGAGCTTTATCGCTACGTTGCAATAAAGTAAATATTACAGAATTGGAAGAGATCCTTTTAGCATTTTCGCGATTCATACAAAGCTTGTTTAACTATTCTTATTATTGTATGTAAATTGTATAAAGTTTAATATTACCGAATTATTCTTATCACTTTATGACAAGTCGATATTATCATATGGTGTGATCCAACGTCGCTGGTCCTCTCCTTTTAAGTTCTTCAGTTGTCAGAAGAAAAGCGCGACCATCAACGTCATCATTTTAAAAGTCCTCTCATAGTCCTGTTTCTGCAGAGAGACAAGTTCAGCTGTGCTATGAGCAGATGTAGAAAGGGCTTTTTTCAAAATTAACTAATGCACAAATTCAAAATGGTATACCTCAAAAACGGGAAACGATCAGAGTCATGTGCCTTCGAAACTACCAATGGTGATCAAACTAATGCATCTTCGAAACCTGCCTCTACCGCATCTCATCCACCAATTCCTAGGCCTACTCCAACTTATGACCGATCACACCTTTAGCGTTCAATCGTAGGTGTAAACAAATAAAGAACGCAAAACTCCAACTTATGACCGATCCTATTTTCGCAACAAGATATTGGATCAATATCCTAATCTATATAGAGAATGTAGTAGTGAGAATTTCGATTATTATGGGATTACTGATGCAACATCATGCGAGGTCTCGAGAGAGACCATCTGCCCATTATGCAAATTAGGTCATGATGATGAAGAAATAGAAGGTAGTATAAAGCCGGATCTTACTTTATTAAATGTGAACAGCGTGAAATTGAGATAACTACATAGTCCTTCCTGCTCTATGAGCGCGGGAGATGATCTAACTATTTTATTTGGATGATAAGAAATATTAGACAGCTTTCTATCTGAAAATTTTTAATCTTTTTCGAATTAATATTAACGAGAAAAATTGTTTGCAGTCATATAAAAAGGAAAATGACTGAGTCTGATAAAATACTAACCCCGGATATCTGGATTGGCATGCCAAATTAAGTGGGTTACCAAGCATTTTGACAGATGAAGATTCATTCCAATTTATACAAAAGATATAAAAAAGAAGCTGGAAATGAGCCATGGCAATTATCAGAAGCCCGCCTTCTCATAAATTCGAAGCCAGAAAACAAAGTATCCTATTTATCTTTTTCTGAGCAATGTGAAGAAAAGGGCCTATCACCAAAACCTGATTCAGAGTTAATTAACAAATCCGTGTTAGAGTATTTTATTATTTATGTACTTAAAATTTCAAAATAGTTTCAGAGAGGGATGATAATTATAATTTTGCATTTGCTCAACCGTGGAGCTCACCATGTCCTATTTGCGATGGAAAACATTAGTACCCGAGCTGGAAGCTGATGTTGAACAGTAAACAAATCGCGTGCAATATTTGTAAAGATAAACAAATTTCACACTTTTATTGTTATCACTAGTGTTGGCTACTCGAAGCAAATGCTCTTTAATTCGACGCAGCCGCCATCACTTTTCGGCCAAGCATAAATGTTTCATCAACGTCTTATAATTTCTCACAAATCTGTCGTTCTTATAACACTAGTGTGCTGTCTTTAGCTTTCAGAACAATGATTGCAAGTCGCATATTCATATGACGGACGGATTATTGCGTCTTAGCCTGCAGTTTCTTTGTATCATGGCACACGTTAAACTTTTTTTATAAATTCTTGAACAGGTATTAACGATGTAAGTCATGAGATACTTGTATGTTTGAATACTTTGAGATAGTAGTACGGTTAGCGTATATTATATGTGTTAATGTTAATTTCACTTATGTTAATTTGAAGTTAGTATTAGTATATAAACAAGGAAGTTAACGTTATGTTCTCTCAATATATTGTCTATAAATGTCAACAAAACTTAGAAACAACGACTAGATATCATCGTTTTATTTCTTTATTTGAACTTATGAGATAAATTATCTTACAGTTATCGTTAGCATAACTTTGACCGAAGTCCATAGTGTAATCTTGGCGATTTACTAAATATGGTTTTGGTTGCGTTTTTTTTTATACGGCTAAAATTTTGTAATTAAGTTACCATTTTACCAATTAAGAAAGTATATACAGCTACCATAAAAAGAATAAGACGCGTTTACTTCGGACGTTCCTTTCCACGTAATCCGAATTTTTTTTGTCATGGCTTAGGGTACTACAAGTGTTATAAAAGTTCCTCGCGATAGGTACTACAAGTGTTCGTTACCCCCTGGATATCCCCCAATAAAATACAGTCATTCATTAATATATCTAGAAATAGATACAGTCAACCCTCTTTATAGTCACCCCCTCTATAAGCACATCATATAAAAACCTCTTTATAGGCACACCATGTTTGAGAACCAATTACTATTGAACTTATAGGAAAAATCCTCTATATAGTCACAACCTCTTTATAAGCACATTTTCAACAAAAGTTGCATTGTTCCCGACAGCGTGACTATAGAGAGGGTTGACTGTACATCCCCCAATACAGCCACAATATGGGCTTTTATTCTCTTCCTCTACATGTAAGTAGATAGATAAAAACAGCTTAAACTGGGCTT